ATAAATTTTCACGGAAGGCTATGGTGTAAAGTTACACACCGTTATTAATGCCATAGTCTCAACTTGACTGGATTCAATGCCGATTTATGCTCCTCAGTTCATTCCCGTTGGTGGGTGATTCCTGATGGCACCGTTAGGTAGAAAACTGTGGATAACACGCAAGCCACCGGAGAGGGTAATCGCGGGTTCGAATCTGGGCTGGGGTCTAAGTTTTGTCAATATCTCAGCCTCATACTGGTTCTATAATTATTTTATAGAAGGTCTATTAAGCTGGTGAAGGATTTTCTCGATGAAGTTTCGATTTTTGCACTAAACGTCTAGAAAGTTCCTGCATTGCTTTGCCCACATATAACAGATCAAAAAAATTTTTTTTGGTTTTTGTCAATACGTTATAAATACAACATTTGTTTAGGATCATGCTTCACCAAAGGAGGTCTGCACGAACCTTGGTCTTTGCATTGTTTGACGTTTATGGTTTTCGTGTTGTTTGATGTTATTGGAATAAATCTAGTCCTTGATCTCTATTTTTTCCATCATCCATCGTCTCGTAACGCATGGGACGCTTGTGGCACAGTAGTTGGAGGCGTCACTGCGACACACACGCGGAATCTACCCAATCACCCATGGCCCACCAAGCCCTCCATCCCTCCGGAGTCGGCAAATTGGTACCAGACTTGTCTAGGAGGATAGCAGCACTGGCTCGATACATCGGCAGGCCACCACGAGTCATTTTAAAGACCAGATATGCATTCAATCACCTCCAGCGGTACTTAGTAAGATTGAATGCATGGCGCATCTCTCAGGGCTTGATCAACGCTGAGAGCTTTCTATTTATCCATCTTCTTAGGATTTTTCACAGGTCTATGGCTGAAGAGTTGAAATACAATTACGGTTTATATGTATTATTTCTTGATAAGCTTGCACGAGGTTGATAAATATATTTATTTTCGGCTAACGTTTCGACGTCTTCGTCTTCCTCAGAGCCGGTGATCCGAGTCGATGGTCCATGCTTGTTGTTCGCCTCGACGTTGCGTCTTCGCCTTCCTGTC